GCTAAAATCTGACGGGGTGGCCAAGGCCCAGGGGTCCAGGAGCAATGTCTACCAGCAGTCTCTGTCATTTTGCTGCCAGATCGAGGTGAATATTTTTGACAATACGTTTTCCACAATGTGTGTGATTGACAAATAAGGAAGTAAGACCATTTTTAGTTAAGGGCTTCGCAAAGCAAAATGTACATGAACAAATGTGCATCTACAAGTCTTCCAGTACGAATGTAAACAGTGTCACCTACTGGATGTCTCTGGTAACTCCAACAGGCTTCATTGTAAAGCATTGCCTATGCACACATCTGCCACAGCACACATGTAGAGGTCGAAGGACAGCAGTTCTGGGGGTATTTTCTCCTCCCATCTAACCTCTGTCAGCTCAGACACCTTGCCAGCCCCTATTGTACATGGCAGTTATGGGTAAAACCTCGTTCTTCAGCGAGAGGTGATTGGCCCACACCTTTAATCCCAGCAAGTGGGAGGTAGAGGCAGATAGATCTCTGTGTTTTAGAGGCCAGCCTGGGCTTCGGAGTGAGTTTCAGAACAGCCATGGCTACACAATGACATCCTGTCTCAAAACAAAAACAAAAAACAAAAACTGGTTCTTCATACCATGTTGGGTTTTATCTTTTTACTTAGTGAATCACCCTGATATGTGAAATATAACAGGAATTCTGATTCATGTTTTCTACCATGCTGGATTAATTCACATCAATTCATAGGCTGTTATATTTTATTTGACTTCTGAACGGTGAGTTGTGATTTTCCTTTGTCCTAACCTGTCAACAATCCTCAGAAAGAACTTGACTTCAGGGGCTGGGGTTATGGAGAACACACACAGGTCAAGGTCTTCTTCAGAGTTATGCCTCAAAGTCACCAGCACTCAGAATCCAATCTTTACAGCTAAAGTGTTTTTTTTAAAAAAGGCCATTGAAACAGCTCAATGGATAATAACTATCAGGAAATGTGGTGGTATTTTGTTTTAACAAATAAAACTTGCCTGAAGATCAGAGTGCATAACTAGCTACTAGTTAGCCATAGAGGCCAGGTAATGGTGGAACACGCGTTTAATCCCAGCACTCGGGAGACAGAGCCAAACGGGGTCTCTGAGAGTCCAAGGCCACAGTAGGCTACGCGAGTTGGAATGCACCTAAAAGAGAAACAGAACCGAGTGGCAGCTCACACCTTTAATCCCAGCGCTCGGGAGACAAAGGCAGGCGGACCTCTGTGAGGTCAAGGCCATCCTAGGCTACACGGGTTGGAATCCACCTAAAAGAGAAACAGAAAGTATGGCTGGCAGCTCACGCCTTTAATCCCAGCACTTGAGAGGTGGAGACAGGAGGTGGTGATACAGGTGGGCGGGGCTTAGAGAGGAATATAAATCCGGAGGGGAGCGGGGCAGGGGCTTGTGATTCAGTCTGAAGTTTCATAGAGGCAGCGTTCAGTCTGAGCACTTGTAGAGAGAGGATACCGCATTCGGTCTGAAGATTTTTGGAGGTAAGAACTAGTGACTGGCTGTTCTGTTTCTCTGATCTTTTTAGCTTCCATGCCCTAATATCTGACTCCGGGTTTTTACTATTAAAACCAATTAGAATTCGCACTGCCAGCAACAAGACTCGCGTCTGCTGCGTCCCGAGGCCCTGGCCCAGCCGGACTTTTCTTTTCGGGCAGACATGGACTTCAAAGAAATCCTCCTGATTGCTTCCAAAGGACAAGGTATCAACCAAGTACCGAAAAGATACAGTTTGGCAGTGGGGCCTCCTAAGAAAGACCCAAAGGTAAAAGGTGTCCAGCCGGCAGCTGTGCAAGCTTTCCTGAGGAGGAAGGAAGAGGAGCTTCGGCGGACCGCCTTAGAGGAGAAAAGCAGGCGAGAAGAACTAGTCAGAAAACGAATTGAGCTCAAACACGACAGGAGAGCCAGAGCTATGGCCAGAAGGACAAAGGACAATTTTCATGGCTACGATGGGATTCCTGTTAAGCAAAAGACAAAGAAGAGGCAGAGGGCAGAAAGCCGCCCGAACCAGGGAACTGACCCAGAGTCTGAGGAGGAGGCGGGAGAGTTCCTAGACTGCAGTCAAGGTGAGTTGGAGCAGGAATTCAAGGAGGACCAAGAGCCTCTCAAAGCTGGAAGCCAACCAAAGGCCCCCCTTAAAAGGGCCCCTCCCACCATGACCTTCACTGACTTAATGAGGTTAGCTGAGAAGAAGCAGTTCGAACCAGTGGAGGTCAAGGCAGTGAGAAAAGCAGAAGAGAGGCCCTTGACTGCAAAGGAACTCAGGGAGCGAGAGTTTCTTGAACGAATGCATAAGAACAAGAAACCTGAGGCAGAAGCAAAACTCCCTCTGCCTGTGTCTCCCTCTCATAGAGACAGTGTGGGCACAAAACCCAGCAAGGGTTCTGGGGACAGGCAGCCTTCTTCCAAAGGATTGCTGTTTCCTCCTGCTGAGAAGACATTCAGACCCAGCACAGGCAATGAGAGGCAAGTAGCTTTGTCTCCATGCAAATCCACTCCAGGAGGGAGGACCAAGACCGGATCTGGCAGTAGCTCCCAACCCTCATATAACAGACTTGTCTTCCTTGGGGTTAGCAAGCCCCAGCCCAGCACCTGTTCACCAACTGTCCCAAAGACTTCTGCTAGTGGGACTCAGAAGTCTGCTTCTGAACAGAAAGCCAGAAAACCTCTTCCTTCTCATCCCAGCCATTCCAAACCAGGGCCCACAGCCTTCCCACACAACGAAGCTAAGAGTCCAGGTATCAGACAGCCAGGCAGCAACAGCGACTCAGCTTCTGGACGACCTAGCCCAGGGACAGCTCGGCCCACAGTTAGTTCTGGCACGATGCCCAGGCGCCAGAATGGCAGCTCCAGTTCAGGACCCGAGCAATCCGGCAGTGGGATCAGAAAGCTGGCCAGCCATCCGCATCCCTCTGGACTACCAGTCAATGGTACAAATGGTCCTGGACGACCTGCCAGCAGCTCCACTGGCCCTGGGAGACCCGTCAGTGGCCCTGGTGGTTCTGGAAGACCTTTGAGCAGTTCTGGAGGTCCTAGGTGGCCTGTAAACAGTCCACATGACAACCGACGACCAGTGAGCAGCCTAGGTCCCCCTGGGCAGTCAGTCAGTGACCCTGGGAGATCTCTAAGTGGTTCTATTCCAGCTGGACGGACTGTCAGTTCAGGCCCTGGAAGACCAGTGAGCAGCTTGGGACCTGGACGCACAGTTAGTAGCCCAGGCCTCCCCATAAAACCCAAGTGTACTGTTGTCTCAGAAACAATTTCTTCAAAGAATATTTTTAGTAAGCCAAGCAATGGACAGATAAATGGAAGGAAGCCTCTGCCGTCTGGCTACAGATCTGTCCCAGGTCCTCAAAGTCTACCGTTCCCGACTGGCTACAAAAGGCTTAGGGAATGTAAAGAAGAAAGTGATGATGAATATGACTCAGACATGGATGATTTCATCGAAGATGAAGGAGACCCTCAGGAAGAAATATCCAAGCACATTCGGGAAATCTTTGGCTATGACCGACAAAAGTATAAAGATGAAAGTGACTATTCCCTACGTCACATGGAGAGCAGCTGGCAGGAGCAGCAGAAGGAGGAAGCCAGGAGTTTAAGACTAGGAAGGCAAGAGGACTTCCTGGAGATGAAGCGTGAGAAGGAAGAAATGAAACGCCGAAAGGCCAAGAAGCAGAAGCTTCCTGATGTGAGCTCCTGCTAACTTTGTGAATCTAGGACACTGTTGCAAGGATTTCTGCCTTCAGACTGAACAAGCCCCGTACCAGTTTGGATTGACACTGGGGCACTCAGAAGGAAGGAATGAGGGAATGCACACTGTCCTGTCATTGCAGGCTATCATTTGAGCATACTGCGTTCTCAGTGTTCTCAAAGAGCCCAGTGTGGAATCTGTAGTGCAGGGTGATACCATGTGTGCCGTGTGCTCTGGTGAAGTTATCCATTCACCGGTGCAGATTTAGATCCTGAGGAGCTATGCACGCTCATGTGGGGGACAACTACCAGTCGGCTGGTCTTTTATTGTTCCTTTGCTACTTTGAATGGAGACAAAGATTGAGGTGTGAGTGGGTACTATCCAGAGCTCAGTCATACTTGTCCTGGGAAGGGCCTAGCCCTTCTTTGAATGCTGCAAGCAAATAAATAAAAGTTCATACCCACACACAGACAACACACACATGAATACAAAATAAAGAAAATGTAACTTAAATTTCATTTGTTTGTTTGTTTCTTTATTCAAGACTGGGTTTTTATGTAGCTCTGGCTGTCCTGGAACTTGCTTTGTAGACCAGGCTGGCTTAGAACACAGAGATTCGCTTGCCTCTGCCTCCCGAGTGATGAGATTAAAGGAATGTGCCACCACCTCCTGGCTATTAATTTAAATTTTTAAATGAATTGCTCTATTTTTAATTCCTCCCCTGTCTTCCCTTCCCCTTACTTCCATTCTGTGAGGGGAGATGCCTGAGTACCTAAGGAGGGAGTCAGAAGTTACAGGCCGTTGTGAAGGTCTGATGTGGGTACTGAGAATCTAACTTGGGTCCTCTGCAGGAGCAGTAGACACCTTCTGAGCTGTGCCTACGGAGGCTGGGAGAGAGTATCAGATACCCTGGAACTGAAGTTACAATCATGAGCTGCTATGTGGATGCTAGAAACCGAATCCTGGTTCTCTACCAGAGAAGCCAGCGCTCTTAACCATTGCTCTATCTTTCCAGCCCCTTTTTTTAACTGGGAGGTTTAGTAGGCCGTAGAAAGAGGTACTAACTACCAAAACATCACCTCCCACTGCATGCTCCTCTCCCTCGGCACTAAAACTGTGAAAGATGGGTTTAGAGCTTAGTCCTTAACCCTGCTCCTGTAGCCCCGCCCCATCCCTCGTAGCCACGCCTCCCAATGATCAGTCCTGCCCCGCGTGGCTCCGCCCCCTGAGAACTAGCCTCTCTCCACTCTCGCGACCCCGCCTCCTTCGGTGTGGACGGGCTTCCGAACCTCAGCCCGCCCCATCCCGCTGGGCCCCGCCTCCCCCGGCCCCAGGCCGACCGGAGCAGTCGCCCTACCCCCGCTATGGCTGCGCCGGTGACGCGGCAGGTCAGCGGCTGCGCGGGTCCGATCCTGACTCCAACAGGCTCGGACACAGAACCCGGGCAGCCCCTGGCTACTGCCGTGGCTGATCTGCCGGTGCTGGATGCGTCCGGGAGACGGGTGTCGTTCGGCGCGCTGTTCCGGGAGCGTCGGGCCGTGGTGGTGTTCGTGAGGGTGAGCAGGGTAGGGCGGGACGGGAAGGGCCTCCCGGAGGACGCCCCGCTGCTGGATCAGGGTGGGTACCGCACTTCGCCTGGAATCGAGCGCCTGAACCTTCCGGACCCCGCTGCCGTCTTGCTGACGTGCTCTTCCGCATTGTTGTTGCCTTTCAGCATTTCTTGTGTTACGTCTGTAAAGAATATGTCGAAGATCTGGCCAAAATCCCCAAGAGCTTTCTCCGAGTAAGTTTCCTGAGTGAGCGGCAATGGTCAGTGCGATGGGGGAGCCATGTGTGAATGTCACCTCTTCTTCCATCTTCTAGTGAAGCAGAGACCTAATGTGCTCCTTTGTGCCCTCTTGACTACGTAGTCACCATCATGATTTTTGTTACCTGTAAGCTGCCTGTGTCAAACTCAAGGTTGCATAAGAATGCAAAATCAAAACAAGACACAGGCTTCAACTGCCTTATGTTTTTGACGCTTTAATTTTATAACTCAAATAGTTATTTGGTGCTCCTCTTTGCAACAGTTATTCATTATATGAAAATGTTGACATATCTTAGAAGTGCAGGGTTGTATTTGCCAATAAGTTGCAAGTCCCAAGTCCCTGTTTTTCTTCGGTCACCAGATGTGGATGGAAGATGTGAGTGGAAGACATCCAGATGTGGATGTGATGTGCATGAGAAGATGTGAGTGGAAGATGTCCAGATGTGGAAGGAAGGTGTAAATGGGAGACACATCCCCATCCCCAGATGTGGATGGAAGATCTGAGTGGAAGACACTGTGCATTTGTAAAACTAAAGTCTATTTTCAGCACACATTTATCAATTAGGGTGTATGAGGGAAAAAAATGAACTGTTCTGCCTGCCCTTTTCTTCCTTTTGTTTACACGTTAATATTCTGAAACATCTTTCCAATGTAAAGTTATTACATCTACCTAATATTTTATCATTGTTGACATTGTTGATTTACTGAACATACAAATGGGTCTTCTTATATTTTCATGTGTGAATACTTTGTTCTTACTTGCTGCCTCGCCTTCCTCCTCCTTCCTCCAGAGCCACATTGATCTTCCCCCTTGCTGTCTTCATACAAATCTTCATATTCCTTTACCCTCTCGTGCCCTTCTACCCCAGACCTCATTCTCTCAGCCTCCTTTCTACTTTAATATCCTACGTAAATACATGCATAGAAATTTAAGCCTAGATCCTGCATGTGAGAGAAAAGAGACCATATTTGCTTTGCGTGGCTTATTTGACTTGGCATACTGATGTCCACTTCTGCCCATTTCCTGCACTTATGACCTCATTCTTTATGGTCGATTGCATTTCCATTGTATGTCTGTGATGTTTTTGTTGGTGTTGATTTTTTGTTTGTTTTTGTTTTTGTTTTCCAAGATAGGTTTTCTCTGTGTAGCTCTGGCTGCCCTGGAACTCACTCTGTAGATCAGGCTGGCCTCAAACTCACAGAAATCCGCCTGCCTCTGCCTCCCAAGTGCTGGGATTAAAGGTGTGTACTACCACACCAGGCTATCAAAATACAAAGAACTTTTAAAGGAGCTGGATTTTTGGTAATTTTGAAATAGACAGCACATTGCTAGTCACTATGTCACTATGCTGGGCAGTAGATTTCTGAAATGATTGTCTTCTTCATGTCTAACTGAAACTGTATCCTTTGAACAATTTTCTCTCAGCCTGTGGTAACCAGCCACTATTTTTGTTCTTGTTTTTTGTCTTTCTGTTCCTGGCTTATTTCACTTAGTATAATATCCTCCCTGTTTTCACAAATGACAAGATAACAAACCTCCTTTTCCATGATGAAATGCTACTTCATAGGGATTTGTCCGCTGATGGACACTTGGGTTGCATCCTTGTCTTAGCTGCTGCAGTGAACATGGAAGTGTAAGGTCTCTTTGCATGCCCATCTCATTTACTTTTAGTGCACAACCAACTAGTGGTATTTCTGGATCATGTGGTAGCTCTGCCTTTAATTTTTTGAATAGCCTGTGCACTGTTTCCATAAAGGCTGTCCTAATTTATTCTCATTAACACCACGGAAGGGTTCTCTTTGTTCCGTGTCCTCACAGATTTTACCTCTTTTTGATTAGTAACATCTCTCCTGGGGTGAAGAGATATTTAAATGCTGTTTTCATTTCCATGTCTCTAATGACTAGTGATGATCATTATTTTTGTGTCGAGAGTGTACAAATTCGTATGCACGTATGTACAAGTTCATGCATACATGTGCATGGAGGCCAGAGGTCAACCACAGGTGTTGTTTCTCAGATGCCATTTACCTTGTTTTTATGTAACATCTCTCACTGGCCTGGAGCTTGCTGATTTAAACGGGCTGACTGAATTAGGATCTCCAGGATCCACCCATTGCTGGGGTCACAACACATGCAGCTGCACTGGCATGGATTCTGGGGATAGAACTCAAATCCTCATGCAACCACTTTACCCACTGAGCCATCTCCCCAGCCCAAGAATTTTCCAAATAGCTACTGGCTATTTGTATGTCTACTGTCTTTTGAGAACTGTCTAAGTCTTAGCCCCCTCCTTGCTGGAGATCAAATGTAGATCCTATGCATACTGCACAAACCCTGATCCCTAGCCCATTTTTGTTCACTTTTGAAACTGGATTGTATTCTTGCTGTGTTTGAATTCCTAACATAAATTAAGTCTCTTGACAAGTGCATAATTTGCATAGGTTTTCTTAGTCCAGTCAGTGGGTTGTGTGTTTTCTTTGTTGTTTCCTTTGCTATATAGAATAACACACCTTCTTTGTATGTTTACTTTTATTGTTCTGCTTTACTGATTTATATGTGCATGTGTGGAGGTCAGGCAGCCTGCAGGAGTGGCCTACCTGTGGGTCCCTGCGATGGGAACTCAGCTCATCATGCACAGCAGCTTCTTTACTCACTGAGCCAAATCATTGTCTTACTGAATGTCCCCCTGTGTCTTCTTCTAGTAGTTTGATGTTTAAGTTTTGAAATTCTTACATAGGGAAAACAAATTATCTGAATTACTCAAATATTGTACCATATATTTATTTCTACTCATGCAATTTTGTTTTCTATTCTTCTAGAAGCCTATAGGTGGCATTAGAACAAAATGAAAGAATTGCTTTAGGGACAGTTCTTAAGACAGACTTCTAGTAATATGCACTTGTCCCTCTTTCTCCCAAAGGAAGCGGATGTCACCCTCATAGTGATTGGGCAGTCGTCATACCATCATATTGAGGTAACTATCTAGCAAAACGAGAAGCCCCATGTTAAATATGTTTCAGATATAAAAACCGCATTTGCTGAGCCCCTGTATAGTCTCAGTTGGCAGAAAAATTTTAGATTGCCATTACTTTTCTCTCAGTTGTTCTAATAGAAAGTCTAATTACTCTCATTTTAGCCTTTCTGCAAACTGACTGGATATTCTCACGAGATCTATGTTGATCCTGAGAGAGAAATTTATAAAAGATTGGGAATGAAAAGAGGTGAAGAAATTTCCTCCTCAGGTAAGACATTTCACATGCAGTGTAGTTCTCTCAAATACGTGTGTTTTCTCACACTAGGGCATATGTGCATAGCAAAGCTGTGTTTGATACTTTTCCTGTTGCTGTGACTCAATAGGTATCAAAGGGGCTGGTGAGATAACTCAGCGATTAAGGGCACCTGCTGCTTTTACAGAAGCCCTAGGCTTATGTCCCAGCACCAACATATTGACTCACAACAACTTTTAACTCCAGTTCTGAGGAATCTGACACCCTCTTCTGACATTCAAGGGCTCCTGTACACACACACACACACACACACACACACACACACACACACACACTTATTATTTTTTAGATAATAATAATAAAAATAAATCTTAAAAAAAAAGTTTGGCAAAGGGAATTGTAGGTGGAAGTTTCTGTCCCACCAGCAACTCCCAAATACTCAGGAGCTGCTTCTGAAATTACCACAGAGAAGCTTATATTAATTATAAATGCTTGAAAAGTAGCTCAAGCTTATTACTAACTAGCTCTTACACTTAAAATTAACCCATACTTCTATGTTTAGCCACATGGCTTGGTACCTTTTCTCAGTACAGCATTCTCATCTCACTTCCTCTGCATCTGGCTTTCCTCCTCCCAGCATTCTTAGTTTGTTGTCCCATTCCCCCCCCCCCATACTTCCTGCCTGGCTACTCCTAATCAGTGTTTTATTAAACCGATTCAAGTGACAAATCTTTGCAGTTTACAAAGGGATTATTCCACAGCAGAGAATTTAAGGTATTAACACTGTTCAGAAGTCCAAAGGCTCCCCTGAGATTCAGGCTCTTAACTGTGAGCTCCCCAAAAAAATAAGACAAGATCTCCTGAGTAAACTGGAAGCATGGGGAGGCAAGGGAAGAGTAGAAAGGGAGAGGGGAGGAGAGAAGGAAATGTATAGTTGTTGGGGCCCGTGCTTCAACAAGGATACCACTTACCAGGGTTGGGGGATGGGGATTAGAAAAATAGTAAAGAGACAAAGACGTGAGTTGAAATAATAAAACAAAACACAGGATAGTATTGGGAGGGAGTTCCAGTGAATTCTGAAATTTGCCTGCATTTAATTTCCCATGCACTTTTATACCCTAATACCACAGGGTAAGAAGACAAAAAATTGCTTTACCATGATACAAAGGAGAACTCTGAATAATTATTTGCTTCAATACTTTGAGACATCAAGTCTTTAGCATTCTGTTTTTTAGGCAGTGAACCCACCCTAGATCAAGTGTCCTGAAGGCAGCTACTCCCAAGGTCAAACCTTCTATTTCAAAAGAAGGAGCAGCAGAAGTATGCTTGAATTTCCTGACCCTTGGTCAGGGGGTAGTGAATCTACCATCTTAATGTCAAAAGGACCAAATAACCACACCTTAGGTCAGAGTTTAGCCCTGGTTGTTGTAAACAATTGTGAGCAATCTCAAACTCTCTGACCTTCAGACGAGGTGGAGATAGGCTCACATTTTTGGGTCTCCACATATAGCATATTCTTATCTAAACCATTAAAATGAGAAGGATTTAAAAGATAAATAAATATTTTAAAAATTATACATATTATAGCTGAGCGGTGTTGGCACACACCTTTAATCCCAGCATTCAGGGAGGCGGAGGCAGGTGAATCTCAGTGAATTCGAGGCCAGCCTGGTCTACAGAGTGAATTCCAGGACAACCAGAGATACACGGAGAAACTCTGTCTTAAAAATCAAAAAGAAAAAAAAAGATTTACTTATTTATTTTAATTTGTTTATTATGTATACAATGTTCTGTCTGCATATATGCCTGCCCGCCAGAAGAGGGCACCAAATCTCATAGATGGTTGTGAGCCACTATGTGGTTGCTGGGAATTGAACTCAGGACCTCCGGAAGAGCAGCCAGTGCTCTTAACCTCTGAGCCATCTCTCCAGTCCTCAAAGATTTATTTTAAATTTACATATTTGATTAATTTTACAATATACAATGATGCAGAGTAAACACTCCCATTCCAGAAAGAAAGGAAAGCTAATTGGTGTCTTAGTTAGGGTTTCTGCTGTGGTGATGAAACACCATCCCCATAACTAACCTGGGGGAGGAAAGGGTTCATTTCATCTTATACTTCCACATCACAGTCATCATTGAAGGACTTCAGGACAGGAATCAAGGCAGGGACCTGGAGGCGTGAAGTGAAGCAGAAGCCTTAGAGTAGAAGCCTATTGGCTTGTTCCCCATGCCTTGCTCAGCCTGCTTTCTTACACACCCTAGGATCACCTGCCCAGGGGTGGAACCACCCACAGTGAGATGGGCCCTCCTACATCAATCATTAATTAAGGAAATGCCCCCACAGACTTGCCTACAGGCCCATCTCATGGAGGCATTTTCTCAATTAAGATTATCTCTTCCTAGATGTTTCTAAGTTTGTGTCAAGGTGACAAAAACTAACCTGGAGAGCAAGGAAAGACCAAACACATCAGGACTAACACCAAATCCTGCAACTCCACATCCCAAATCTGGAACTCCTGGTGGAATCCTCAGTGTTCCAACATGCTTAAGCAGCCCCACCCATCCGGTTCTCCCGTCTGCAGCACGGGTTGGCTGCCTTTCTGTTGATCTGGCTCCACTTCATGCCTGAGGCTTGCTTTTTTAAAAATTATTTTTATTTATTTACTTGTGGTAATTAAATTTATTCCCTTATTGCCTGAGGCTTTCTTTAGCAGATGTCCCACAGCCCTGGCGTTTTTAGCATCCTGGTATCCCCAGTGCAGCTTAAGTTTCACCTTGACAACTCTGCAATCCCTGCCAAGCTACTTGCCAAGTTTGTGACACACATACACACATTGCCTGGCCCCGGTGGCTCTGTGGGACATGGGTGGAAGCTGTCATGACCTCACAACTTCTGCATTTCTCGTGTCCACAAAACCACACAGGCAATGCTGCCTAGCTCTGCCAGCCCAAGTTGCAGAGGGGCCCCTTCTACAATAGTGTTGACGACCTGAGTCTTGGTTGTTGAACCTGAACAAACTTCCTTGAGAGGTCGGTTTGGAGAGAGAGCCCCTCTGGCAGAGTACTGTCAGTTCATGCTCTTCTTAGGTGGATTTACATTTTCACAAGTCTGGCTCTAATCTTGGGGTCCTGCCCTCAAAGCAGCTCTCCTCTGTCTGTCTGTCTCCTCTACGTTCTGTGGGGGCACTTTACTTCCATGGTTAATATAAAAATATGATGAGTTTATATGCTTTTTTGTCTCCACACCATGTCATTGGACATTAAACTCAGCTTCCCTCTGGCAGTTTAAGCAGAAAGAGAGGCTTCTTTCCCAGGACTTTATAGCTTACCCATACCCGTTGCACCATGTAGCTACCTGGAGCTTGGTGTCACTCAACTTTGTCCACATTCCCTGTTCTCACTACAGTTTCAGTGGGCCTTAGCAAGCATTAGCTATATTTTTATTTAATTTGATTGGGTCTCACTATGTAGTCCCAGTCTGACCTTGGACTTGTCCTGCTGTGTCTGCCTCCTGCATGCAGGGATGATGGGTTCACAACATCAAGCCCAACTGAGTCGATCTGTTTGTCCTTCTGTAGGCCAGACTTGGTTTCTGGAGTACCTAGATGTGAGAAGTCAACTGAGTCAGTCATTCTCAACAATTACTGCTTTCTTACGGGGACACCCACTATGATGGATGATCCTTAATGGAAGGTGATAAAGGACATTCTCTGCCTTCCAGGGATGTCAGTGCAGCTAGAGGCCCAAGAGAGGAGACACAGTAGGGACAAGTGCCTGTTTCAAGAATGTGGAAGAGAGGGCTGGAGAGATGGCTCAGAGGTTAAGAGCATTGCCTGCTCTTCCAAAGGTCCTGAGTTCAATTCCCAGCAACCACATGGTGGCTCACAACCATATGCAGTGAGATTTGGTGCCCTCTTCTGGCCTGCAGGGATACACAGAATCTGTATAAATAAATTTAAAAAAGAAAAGAATATGGAAGAGAAAGGTCTAGAGGCAGCTGACTTTGGAGGTGAAGTCCCAGCTCACCATGAAAGCTGCTGGTGGAGAGAGGATGGGAAGGGGTGCTGTAGACTCCAAAGGTTTTAGGAAGTGCCACTCACTTGAAGACGTGCAGGTCCTGCTCTAGCTGAATTAGTATGAGTCACTGGATAGGCTGGGCTGATTCACAATGAATTCAGGTCGACTTCAAGTTTGGATTTATCATTGGGGAATCCTCAGGTGTTTTATGGCAGCTAAGTGAAGAGTCACAGAATGTGTGGAGGAGGAACCAGACCTGGGAGAGGGCAGGGAGCTGCTTGTGAGGCAGATATGCTGTGGTATTATTTTTGTCATGTGGGTGCCTGGTGCCCGTAGAAGCCAGAAAGAGGGCATCGGATCCCCTAGATAGTTTTGAACAACCATGTGCATGATGGGAATCTAGCCCCTGGTCCTCTGGAATAGCAACCAGTGCTCTTAATCACGAGTAGTCTCTCCAGCCCCCTTTCCCCGATTGCCATATTGTTTTGCTGTGGTTTTATTTTATTGTGATCCTTATTTTGAGACAGATTCACAGTGTAGCCCTGGCTGACTTAGAACTTGCTCTGTAGACCAGACTGGCCTCAAACTTACAGAGATCCTCCTGCCTCTGCTTCCCGAGTGCTGGGAGTAAAAGTGTGTGACACCACACTCCACTTTACTGCTGATTTTAAAGACTGAACCCTAAACTCGACTAAGAGCCAGCCCTCAGTTTTCACCTGCTGGTGTGGGATTGCAGGCCTCAGGTTTGGGCTCCTGGTTTCATGTGCTTTAACACCTTTAATCCCAGCACTTGGGAGGAAGAGGCAGGTGGATCTCTGTGAGTTTAAGGCCAGCCTGGTCTATAAAGCAAGTTCCAGTATAGCCAGGGCTATTACACAGAGAAACCTGTCTAAAAAAAAGAAAGGAAGAAAGAAAGGAAGGAAGGAAGGAAGGAAGAAAGAAAGAAAGAAAAGAAAGAAAAGAAAGAAAGAAAGAAAGAAAGAAAGAAAGAAAGAAAGAAAGAAAGGAGAAAAGAAAAAGAAGAAGGAGGAGAAGGAGAAGAAGAAGGAGGAGGAGGAGGAGGAAGAAGAGGAGAAGAAGAAGAAGAAGAAGAAGAAGAAGAAGAAGAAGAAGAAGAAGGAAAAGAAACAAACAAAAGGTCTCTGAGTTTCACTTTTGTGACACTACATTTCATTTCTTGTCTCAAGGAAGACAGGAAATGTAAAGAAAATAAGTGAATTACAGGCCAAATGTATTTTGTAATTATGAGAGAATACATGCAACTTATTTTCCACTCCTTCTATTTAAATATATTTCATATACCAGATATATCACTTTATATAGCTTTGTCTATGATACTGTTATATAATATGTTTCATATGTCACAAACAGATTTATATAAGACTTATACAATTTACAGCATATAAATATGAGCTATACCAAATAAATACACATTCCTATGCACAGTTGTGTACTATAATGTATGTGTGTACCTTTGGGTCAGCAGGATGTCTCAGTAGGTAAAGAAATGTACAGCAAAGCTTACACTCTGAATTTGGTTCCAGGAACCCACATAGTAGGAAGAGAGAACTGGCTCCCAAAGTTGTCCTCTCCTTTCCATATGTACTTCATGACACATACGTGGATACACACTCACACCTTTTCTCTCTCTCCTACACACACACACACACTAAACTAATGTGGGCTGTCCTTCTGTGTGTGTTGCTTTATTCGTTGATGAATAAAGCTCCTTTGACCTATGGCAGGGCAGAATAAAGCCAGGCAGGAAATCCAAAGAGATGGAGAGAGAGAGAGAGAGGGCGGAGTCAGAGCCGCCAAAGGAGACATATGCCATGTAACTGCTGAAGAAGGACACACTGTAACACACAGCCTTCTGGCAATAGAAACGAGTTAGTTTAAGATATAAGAGTTAGCCAGGAATATGCCTAAGCCATTGGCCGAACCGTGTTATAATTAGTATAGTTTCTGTGTAATTATTTGGGTCTGGACAGCCAGGAATGAAAGAGCAATCTCTGCCTATGATAAACAAACAAATATACACTTGTTTTGTTTGTTTTTGGTTTTGGAGACAGCTCTGTGTAGCTCTGGCTGTCCTGGAACTCACTCTGTAGATCAGGCTGACCTCGAACTCAGAGATTCACCTGTCTCTGCCTCCCAAGTACTGGGATTAAAGGAGTTCACCAACACTGTCTGGCAAATACACACATTTTAAATGAAAAATATTGGATTCTATAGAACATTTTTTTTGAGACAGGGATTATCTGTGTAGCCCCAGCTATTCTGTACTTTACTCTGTAGATCAGGTTGGCCTTAAACTCACAGAGACCCCCCTGCCTCTGCCTCCCAAATAAATCACTTATGGTGGGAAAATGGCTTAGTGGTTAAGATATTGGTTGCTCTTCCAAAGGACACAGGTTCATTCCCAGCACCCACATGGTATCTCACAACCATCTGTAATTCTGATTCTAGGGGACCTGATACTTGATGCCCTCTTCTGGCCTCTGTGGGCACTGCATGTACATGGTGCCCAGCTGATTGTGCAGACAAAATGCCCATGCAAGTAAAATAAAAATTTAAATAATAAATCTGCTAAGGTTATATTTTATGCTAAATGTTAAGTGATTATGTCATAGTTTCACTTCTGGGGCTGTGATCAAACATCCTGCCAAATGCAACATGAGGGAGAAAGGGTTTACTTGGCTCACAATCCTAGGCTATAGGCCATCACTACAGAAATTCAAGGCTGTAGGAACTTGCCGCAGCCAGTCACATTACATCCACAGTCAAGAGCAGAGAGCCTTGACTTAATGTGTGCTTGCTTGTGCTCAGCCTCCTTTCTCTACTCGTACGTAATCCAGGATCCCCCAACCAGAGAGAGAATGGTGCCACCCACAGTGGATACACTAACCCTAATTTCCCACAAACCTGTCGTCTAGACAGTTCTTCACTGAGATTCCCTTCCCAGATGATTCTAGACCATCTCAAACTAACATTAGAATTAACCACCATAGACTGTTTGCTTGAATCTGTGAGTCACTCAAGAAAATTCATTGCATTCCAAAAGGGCTTATAGAAATCCCACTATAACCAGTCAGTCTTCTGGTGTGCAGACATATATAACGCCCATATACATAAAATAAATACAAATTTTTAAAAAAGTTTTGTTTTTCGAGACAGGTTTCTCTGTGTAGCTTTGGAGCCTGTCCTGGCACTCGCTTTGTAGACTAGGCTGAACTCGAACTCACAGAGATCCACCTGCCTCTGCCTTCCAAGTGCTGGGATTAAAGGCGTGCACTACCACCACCTGGCTCAGTTTTGAAAGATTAAACAACCTAGGCTTGTGGTTAGCATCTGTATTAAATAGGGACCTAGCTTGAAATCTAGCCTTCCACCTATCTGATCTGACATTATCTTCAGGTAGATTTTTGTCACCACCAAGTTACTGCTTGTTTGGCTTGTAGATAAAGGTGCCTACATGTAGCTGGAGTCAAACTGATCTGAGTCAGAAGAATGCAGTAGGGGAAGGTAAGTTTGAGTCTGAGTGTTTTTCTTTCTGTATAGTCATCAAAGTTTAAAATTAAAATTCAGACATAAACAAGGCAAGAATAAGAGCAAAACTTATAAAGCAGAGACTGAGTTTCTCAGCTCAAAAGGAGCAGAAACATCCGTCACTGTGAGAAGAGAAGTAGATAACAGGCATCAGGCGGTACTTTTGAGACCCAGCCCTTGCCCTCCTGTGACTCTGTCATTTCCCATCCAAGCTTTCCAAGAATTTGGAGGGAGGTTTTGGGAACTTGCCCCATAAGCAACCTCTTCACTCAGTAACTAGAACATTACCACAGCTAATGTGAGGGAAACCGGAAAGGGCAGCCTAGTCATGGGCCCAGAATGGAAAGGTGTTGACCGTCATTTAACAGCCTGTGCAAAGTGTGTCCTGGGGAGGAGCGTGACTGCCTATTAGCAGGCAAGGAACCAAGCAAGTGCACATGGGAAACTAAGAAGCAGGACAAATACGAGAAGTTTGCAGTGATGTTCTCTGTGGCAAATGGCTCAGGTCCATCACTTCTTCCTTTAAGACAGTGTCCTTGGCAGACATTACCCTCCCAGCATGTTTGTCCTTCAGTGGAGATAGTTTTCAGTTGTCCAGCTCAGTGACCAGTGTTACTGACATGTAGCAGTTGTAGAAAGCAAAGATGATGTTGCCAATGTTTTACACTATTCCAGAAAAGGACTGCCTCAGCCAGTGCAGCGCAGGGTAAGCCGCTGTTAAAATTCCATGTTGTGCTTTCTGCTGCAGAGTCAGGAAAGGATGACGGGGCCGATGCAGAATGCTTCCAGGGCTGGAGAGGTGATGGCTCAGCCACTAAGAGCCCTCACTGCTCTTGCAAAGGACCTGAGTTTAGTTCCCAGTGCTCACAACCACCTGTAGCCCCACCTGCAGGGGATTCAGCACCCTCTTCTGGCCTCCAGTGCAATCACACATGGATACAGACATACATACATAATTTAAAGTAAGACTTTTTTAATATTCATTTATTTATTATGTATACAATACTCTGTCTGTGTGTATGCCTGCAGGCCAGAAGAGGGCACCAGACCTCATAATGGATGATTGTGAGCCACCATGTGGTTGCTGGGAATTGAACTCAGGACCTTTGGAAAAGCAGGCAATGCTCTTAACCATTAAGCCAACTCTCCAGCCCATAAGACTTTTTTTTTAAAGAATGTTTTATACAAGAACTGACGTGTCTGTTTAACTTATTTTACATACCAACCACAATTTTCCATCCCTCCTCTTCTCCTTTTCCCTCTTCCTATCCCCATCTACTCCTCCTCTGTCTCCATTCAGAAAGGGGCAGGCCTCCCATGAGAGTCAACAAAGCATGCACATCAAGTTGAGGCAGGACCAAGCTCCTCTCCTTGCACCAAGGTTGGGCAAGGCAACTCAGCATGGGGAATGGGTTCCCAAAAGCTTGCTCAAGCACCTGGAACAGGTCCTAATCCCGCTGCTAGGAGCCCCACAAACAGATCAAGCTACATAACTGTCACATACATGCAGAATGCCTAGTTCAGTTCCATGCAAGCTCCCTAGCTGTTGGTCTAGAGTTCAGGTCAGCTATCTCTCTGGGGTCCCCTGTCATGGGGGGGGGGGGGGGGGGGGGGGGGGGGGGGGGGGGGGGGGGGGG